TATCTTTTGTATGATGTATTATGTCCACCATTCCCACTGTTGAGCCGTGGTACAACCCATGGCTCAATATAGCTGCATATCGAAATAAGCTTTTTGGTAATACAAATTTGCCTTCTGTACTTTCCCACAACCCCTCCTTATTCTGTGTACACAATTTCTTCTTCCAGTATATCTTCTCTTTTTCAGGTGCATTCGCTTGCATGTCTTTTAGTATGTCATGATCAATGTGTTGCATATTCTCAGATATATATTGGTCACTGTCTTTGCGCTGCTTTCTTAGCCTCTTCATCTGCCTTTCGGTTCCCTGTGGAAATTGGGTCCGTCCCTGTAGTGTGTGCTGCACACTTAGAGACCGCCACTCTCTTCGGGAGTTGTACTGCATCCGAAAGTGATAGGATCAAATATTTATGTGTAATAGGTTTGTTCGTGGATGTTACCATACCTCTATTTTTCCATTGTTGTGCAAACACATGTATACATGAATACGCATAGTTGCTGTCTGTATACATTTCCTAGTTTGCATGCTTCTGTTAGTGCGATTAGTTCTGCTGCCTGTGCTGATAAGTGAGACGGCAATGATGCGCCCTTGAGTAGTTTCGTCTGCGTCATTACAGCATAAATTCCGTCAAGATTAATCTTGCATGAACCGTCAACATACATTGTTATGTCTGCATCAGGGAAGGGAATGTCAGTCAGGTCTGTCCTTGGTAACACTCTGTTCTCAGTTTCTGCGACACAGTCATGTGGTTCCCCATCTATCTCTACTGGCAGTAGTGTAGCTGGATTTAAAGTAGTACATCTCTCGATAGTAAGATTTGGTTGTGATAGCAACGTAGCCATGCATGCTAAATGTCTAGCTGGTGACATATAGGTTTGTTTATTTTGTAACAATAGTACAGACACTGCGTGAGTTACTTTTTAGAGTTAATGATCTAAAGAGCACTATTGTTGCAGATGCCTGTACCGCCATGGAGGCTGCTATTACTGCTTGTAAACAAATGGGCATTGCTCGAGCTATGGTGTCCAACTGTGAGGAGTAAAATGCCACTGGTCTATTTTCCCCCCATACAGTTGAGTGAGTACTGATGTCATGAATCCATTTTTACAATCTGCTGTTTGAACAAATGGTTTTGCATAATCTGGTTACATCTATTCCCATTACTTTTAAGGTAACAAATGGTTTCTCTACGTGAGCCAGCATTAATTCTACTGTACCTAATTCTAAAATCTCCACTTCCTCATCGGATGAGCTGATAGACACGTTATCTGAACTTGCTTCTGTGTCACTGTCAAGGTCTGAGTCATTTTGTCTTAGGTCATCTTGATTTGGGTTATCTTGTTTTGTAGTTGTTTCTGTTGTTTGACTTTCTACGTTAACCTTTTTCATCTGTTCAGGGTCTATGTTTGTGTGTGATAATACATGACCTGATTTTGCAGATGCACTTGGCTCTAGTCATGCCTGCTCCACCCAGTCCTCCGTTCCTTCCTGTGGCCTCTTTGCTCTGCAGTCGTTTTTCCAATGTCCAAATTTGCCACACAAAAAGCAACTTCCCTCCGGGAATTTTCCTCCCCCCCGTCCTCCACCTCGTGCCCCACCTCGCCCTCCACCCCGTCCGCGCCCTCTTTGATCACCTCGGAAAAGCAATTCAACAGAACATACATCAGAAGTGTAATCATCAGATTCCTCCTGTGTTAAAAACACGGCAGTTTGCTTTTGTTTCTTATTTTCTTCTTGTTTGCCAATTTCACCCCATTCAGTTTAAATGTCCCCCTTAGAAAATCAGTCACATTCCCTGATATATTCATAACTGGCATAACGGGCATTCTGAATGTCTTACCTGACCGTGTGTTGCTGGGTTCCTCCCTCATGCCGGCTGTTCTCTGCGCGGGAGCATGAGGGTCGGTGTGTGGAGGTGGTTGGTAGGGCGGAGCGGGTGGCCAAGGCAGCGGAGTCGGTGGGGGAGCAGTGGGGTGAGACGAGCAGGAGGCCATGGGTCCGAGGAGATCCCCGGGGTGTTGAACTGGTGCATGGTTTTCATCTATCCATTGCTCCTGCATCACAGCAGGTCCCACAGGAGGGAGATACGGAGGAGTGGGTTGGCGGCGTCTGCATACCACTTGATCGTCAAGTTTCTCCTGGAGAGGCAGCTGCAAGGTCGTACACAGTTCAGAATCACACATGATATCAGTGCATTAAAACAAACCCAAAGAGGAGACAACAGTATTTTCTCCAACACGCAGCCATGGGGATATTAAGAGTGTTGAATCAATTTGTCCTAAAACCTGAAAATTGCAGTTTACCACTTCCTGTTCCCTCGTTGAAGTCAATGACTTAAGAAAATGTGTCGTGGTTGGATGCCTGAAATAAGATCTGGGCTCCGCTTCATATACTTTCAAAAGTCAAAGTATGTTTTGTTTTAGGCGGAGCCCAGTTCATTCCTATGAAAGTTGATCAGTTGGGCATGAAGCCAATATGGCCTGACTCCAAGAACATAATTACCTCGATCTTCCCTGGGTTTCGGTCCCAAAGACGTTACGTAACTGACAAAGAGGTTGAAACATCATGGTATGGCCACTTGGAAGATTTGCCTCAATGTAAGCACACTTCCTGGAGGCTTGCTCGAAAGTCAAGCCATTTCGGCCCCATGTGCCACTGAGCAACTTCAATCAACATGGTTTCCAGTTCTCTAACAGAGATCTATGGAAAGATGTTGTGGTACATTTGTGGTTTCAAAATCACCCAACTTTAATCCAGGGAGATCTGTACATGTCAAGTGTGAAACGTTAAATGATTTGTCACTTAACTTCAGTACCTAATAGCGGTGTAACGGTATCCGTATTCGTCCCGTACCGTCACGGTTCGGCACATGCAGTCACACGACGAATACGCCCTTTTTTTACGAGTGGGAAAAAAGTCTGTCATTCAGGGCAGTATCCATTACACTTTATATTATCCAGGGGGCGGTATTGTGCCTAAAAGCTGTTTGCCAGCCGCCCTTAAACAACAAATGAAGAAGAAGAAGAAAACACAACAAAATTAACAAAATACAAGAAGAAGAAAAGTTAGTATGGCGAGTTCAGATAACACACAGGAGAACCCACCTGCTTCTTTTAAATCAGCTGTGTGGGAAGATTTTGGGTTCCCTGTGGACTACAACAACAATGGAGTGCGAGTGGTGGATCGGACGAGGACGGTGTGTCGGCGCTGTTCGACAGCGGAGCGGTATGCTAACGGTAACACACGCCAAACACACTCTTGGAAGTAATGTGTCATTTTTTTAACACACTGCTGTGTCGAAGGCAATTCAACACATTCAGTGTCATTTCTGAACCATTTTCCACACACATGTGTAAAATAAAAATGCATATAGTGCACTGGTGATAATTTTTTTGCCGCACACATTGAATAGAAAAAGACTCTGAGCATGCGCAGAGTAGTTTTTACATAAAATACATACATAAATATACCTCTTTTTGGCTGCTCCAAGACCCTCAAAGGACGGACTAAGGACCTCCAGCATGTCTCCCTAACATGTGCACTTAGGTTATTTCCATCATCCAGGGAAACACACCAGTAAATCCACCTCACTATGCAAATAGTGCTTCGTGAGGCCACCAGAGACCCCTGTCATCTCTCGGCTCTATCCTCCAGGGTCCCCGGTAGTCAGAACTGGGTGGAACGCATCAACAAGTTTAAAGAATAATTCAAAAAGACCCATCAAAAAAAGACCTCAAAACAAAAAAAGTGTCAGAAAATAGTGCCTCGTGAGGCCGCCAGAGACCCCTGTCATCTCTCGGTCATATCCTCCAGGGGTACATCAAGTCCCTTTACATTCATCCATTGGTTCATATTTGGTCAAATCACTTTTATTAGAACCAGGGTGGGGGGTCTCGAGGCATCGACATTAGTCCGTTTAAGGTGCATGGTGAGCGGGCAGAGTCCCCTGTCAACTCCCCTTACATTCCTCCAGAGGTACATTTGTCAGTCAACTTTTGTGAGAACCAGGCTGGAGGGTCTTGAGGCACGAAATAAGGCCGACCCAAAGTGCATGGTGAGCGGACACTTCACCTCCGTGTTTGCAGACAGCCGTTTTTTTTCAGACCGTAGTCTAAAATGTATGGAGGAACATTTTTGACAAAGAAGGGGAAATGAAGCCCCGGACACTTCTCCCCTTCTCCGTTGCAACTTACAACGGAGAAGGGGAAAAAGGGGCCCGAAGCGCCAAAGGGTTGAGCTTTTGCTGGCCGCTTCTCTGGTAAAACATTTGTATTCATCCATTTCAAGCTACAAGCACTTAGTCATTTTTTTGAACATTTTCAAAACTTCATTTTTGATTATTTAAAGATATAATTAAACGTTTTCTTCACTTTTTTCTTCTTTCCACGGGTGGGTGCACCTATGAGCACCCAAATTCGGTCTGGAACCTCCAGGATTTGTGAGCTAAGCTCCATAAACTGACAAAATCACCCAGAAATGTCACTTTTCTAGCCCAAAAATATATAATACAAATACATTTAAATAGTAAAAGGTATTCAGGTCCCTGAATTGTACAAAAAATTAGGAGTCGGCCCTAGAGGGGGGGGGGGGGGGGGGGGGGCATTTTCAAATATGTGCGTTTTTCATGCATTTTAAGCACATTTTTGCAAACTCCTCCTAGGGAAATGTCTGTTGAAAACATTTTAAGAATAGTAGGGCATAATTTTCTAACAATATTATCAAACACATCTTAATAAGGTTATCAAAAACATCTTAAGAAAGTTATCACCAAACATTTTAAGAATGTTTTTAGAGAACGTTATCGTACGGAAGAACATTCTGGGAACCAAAATAAAACTTCTCACTGAAAACATTCCTAGAACAATTAATGATATAATGGCAGCATAGTGATCTTTATCAAGGAACCTATAATCTGATTTCAAAGGAAATGTTAGAAATCCAGGTTGCAAAACGTGTTGTATCTAAATGTGAAATGGGCTGGGCTTCAGAGTATTTAAACCTCATACATAGCTCACCTGTCAGTGAGCTGCTCTCAGTAACTGTCTGCTACATCCAGGTTTCAAGAAGGGAAACTGTTTGTGAAATGGCATATTTTGGAAATTCTGGTAAGTACAGTTCGACTTTTGTTTCTTGCATGCATCATATGTGTATGAATGGAATCCTTAATGTTGTGTTGGTTGCATATGTTGACAATGTGTTCACATTTCAAAATGATGCCATAAAACGTAACATTTAATGTGAAACTGAATTAAATTAATGATAATCAACCCTTCCCAGATAACAATATCAGATTAAATATACTTAATATATCCCAAACTGGATTATTTTTGGCTAAGCACTATGTTAATATTAATATGTGTTGCTGTCGGAGCAGATGGCATCATTCTCAGCGCTCTGGAATGAATGAGTGAACATTAATGAAAACATAACTCTTTGTTTTTACAGCTCTACAAACCAAATGTTTTTTTTTTACAAATTCAGCTATTTTCTTATGTCTTAGGGAAATTCTCTAGCTATCTTATTTTCCACCAGATGGTAACTTTTCTGTCCGTTGTTTAGTGCAGAGCAGGAACACCAAAGTATTCGAAGGATTCAAAAACTTTATTCATCATGGCTGAAGCATAGTTTCTGCAATGAAAATCTAAAGTTCCAGACTCCAACAATGCAAAATATAATAAACGTGACGTAAAAATAAAAATGCAAACATGTACTCCATTTACTTTTCCATATTCTTTGACATATAATTAAAAATATATTTAAGTACATTTAGTCGCATGCTATATGGACATTTATTAACATTTTTCTGACATTAATTCACACATTTTCATATATTGTTCACAGATTTATATTCCGCACATTTTTCGGACTACTTTCTCCATATTTTTCGGACATCTGCTCCGTGTTTTTCAGAACTTTTAAACGTATTTATCGCTCATTTTTCCCTTATTACTCTAATTTATATTTATATTCCAACCAGTCCAGTACATAACCATTGAACGAAATTATTTTAATCAACACTTATTTGACCGTGTACATCTCTGCGAGTGGGACCCAGGTACCTTCTTATTATGCATCCATGCCAGGGGCCCCGCAAAAACTATTTTCTTCAAAAATATAATAATACATTTAAGTAATTTTTCAGTCAATGTTCACACATTTTCAATCTTATCTTGACATTTATTTCAATTGTTTCAGCATTTATTCACACTTTTCGGACATCTGCACCATATTTTTCATAACTCTTCCACTTATATATCGTAAATATCGCCCATATTTCTCTTATTCATTTTTAATTTATATTCCAGTAAGTCCAGTACAAATCGTTTTAAGTTAAATTAATTATTTGACACATCTTTGAGCGTTACAATGGGTTGTAAAATTATAGAAAAATAATGTAAAATTACAATTTGTAGAGCTAAAATAAATACTCTATATTGTAATAATGTGTGGATAAGTGGAATACACATTTAAAGCCTACTGAGATAAAACAAATGTTTTAAATAGAACTACATAATGTTGCTTGCTTTCTCCTTAAAGGTCTCCTATCATGCAACATGCACTTTTTGATGTCTTTTATACATAAATATGTGTCTCCGGTATGTCAGGGAACTCTCAAAGTGTTAGAAAACAAAACCCTCTCTCTTGAGCTGATCCAGATTTGCGTCCGATATGACGTAATATCGGAACTGTGGGCTGGCTTTTTACACCCACGGCCCTATCAGAAACGTCGCTATCAGAAACAATGTGCAACGTATTTTGAAAGTAATATGGTCTTTGTTTACATTAGCAAGCATCGCTAACACTCCTGTACCTGTACTGGAGAGAGCATGTGTAAAAAAGCAGGATATAAAAAGGTACTCACCTTGTGGTAAACCCGCAAGAGAAAAAGCATTTGAGCTCCAGACTGTTTCAGAAATAATCTTATCTGAGACCTATACTATGTGCCTAAAAATGGTATAATAGGAGAGCTTTAAGTAACCTGAACACATTTGCATAATTTTATATTTTCAGTTTTTAAGGGAGTGGATCTCCACCCTAGGAACAACAACTTCCTCCACCACACCAGTGAGATCTCTGTGGATCAGCTGATCGTGAGGCGAGGTCAGCCCTTCAAACTGACCCTGAATGTGACGCAGCCTTTCAACCCTAAACTGCACCAGCTGCTCATCACTGCAAAGACAGGTCAGGCTTTCTTTAAATTATTCATATTGTTGCATGTATATGTTTTTCATACAATGCCAAAACTGATTACTCACTAAATGTAGTTATGACAGGATATGACTTCTGGCATCTGTCTTTCCATTTAATTACTTAATAATGAATACATTGTTAATCAAATAACGAATGCGTCTGGGAATTTCATTTTCATTTCATTTTGAATAAAGCTTTTGTAAACTGGAACCATTGATGTGATCCTAATTTTCCAGTGTGGCCCTTAGTCACATTGAGTTTAACACCTGCTGTATGATATTGTTACAGCATTACATGAAAAAAGTATGGAAGTTCAGTTACTGCATCGATTGAGTAGCTTTATTGTTGCTATCTGTGACTTTAGAAAAACAACGTGCTTCCTGTAAGGATTCAGTTACTTTATGGGGCTTTTATTTTGAAAACCCTGCCTCTCCCTGCACTTTCTGTAAGAATACATTTACTCCATGGGTCCTTTTTTTATAAACATGCTTAATTCTGAGCATACTGTAAGTATACGGCAACTCTATTGTGCTTGTGTTTTGTGTTGCTTTAGAGCAGGGGTTTCAAACTCAAATACACAGTGGGCCAAAATAAAAAAATGGGTACTAGTCGAGGGCCGGACTGGTTCAATGTTTATTGCAAAACGTATTGAAATGAACTTATTGCACATATTAAACCTGGAACTAACAAAGCTTAAATGATTGCCTATAAAAACAAGATTAAACATTAAATAATCAGTTGCATTCATTTCTTATGGCTCTATCTGCAGCTTTTCCAAAGTCATTTCTTATGATTACATTTTCCCACAGGCCAACAACAGCTTCAAAAAAACAATTTCCCTCAAAGAAAAAAACAAACATGCCCTGTTGTCTCAAGAAACAAAGTGCAGAAGGAAACATCCATGTAAACTCAGTGTGCTGCTCTGTGATGCTAGTTCAAGCCAGATACTTGGCATCTCATCTTGGGTGCAAGTTCATCAATGTTTGGGCTCAGGCTCTGAGCTGAGGAGACCCTCAGGATTGAGTGAAGGTGTGCGTGCAATATACCGGCGGGGCAGATCTAATAGTAATTAGAAATTGTCCTGCAGGCCGAAATTAAATCCACCAAGGACCTGATTTGGCCCCCGGGCCTTGAGTTTGACACATGTGCTTTAGAGGACTTTTGGTATAAAAAACAAGGCTCATCGTAAGCTTCCTGTATGGATGCAGTCACTCTATGGGGCTTGTGTTTTGAGCTTTCTAATATAACTCCTAAAACTCCTATCATAATATTTCTTGACTTGAGCATCTCATCTATTAACTTCAGTGGCTCCTCTCTGCAGGACCAATTCCAACGGAGAAACAGGGGACGCTTTCACTCTTCGGCATCCCAGATGAGGTGACCCGCTCCCGTTCAGCGATAGCAGGATGGAGGGCGGATCTGCACAAGGACTCCTCCCTGCAAACTCTGGTCCTCAACCTCACCCCCCCGGCTGTGGCCCCTGTGGGGGAGTGGATCCTGACTGTGAAACTCGGGGGGGAGGAGATGCCGCTGGGGAAGCTGGTGGTGCTCTACAACCCCTGGTGTCCCGGTAAGTGCTTCATCTGTCATTCTTTGAAGATTTGTTAAAGCTACTCAGAACATTTATCAGAATTGGAGGATGAAACCCTCTTTTAATTGTCACACACACACAGTGACATTTTACCTCTGCATTTAACCCATCCTAGTACTAGGAGCAGTGGGCAGCTATTGTACAGCGCGCGGGGAGCAATGGGAGTGTCCGGTGCCTTGCTCAAGGGCACCACGGCAGGGCCCAGGAGGTGAACTTGGACCTCTCCAAGTAGCAGTCCACACTCCATATTTAGGTCCTAGTCCAAGTCCATACTGACTGAGCCACTGCCGGACAAATTACCATGTCAATCAATCAATCAATCAATCAATCAAGTATTATTTATATAGCCCAATATCACAAATGTTACATTTGTCTCAGTGGACTTTACAGTTTGTACAATATGAATACGACACCCTCTGTCCTTGGACCCTCACACAGGGGCGGACTGGGATGGAAAAACAACCCTGGACTCTGACCCAGCCCAGCCCACAAAAATTGGCACCATCGAAACGGCACGCTTCACGGGGGGGGGGGTGGCAAGCTCGTGAACTGTTAGCGCTGGGTTATTCGAAACATGAGAGTACACAGGTACAGGAAGAAGTAAGGTGTCCCCCGACAGTCTAAGCCTATAGCAGCAAAACTAGGGGCTGAATCTAGTGAGCCCTATCTATAAGCTTTATCAAAAAGGAAGGTCTTAAGCTGACTTTTAAAAAAACGGATATGGTGTCTGCCGCCCGAAGCTCATTCCACATAAGAGGAGCTTGATAAGAGTTACAATAATCCAGCCTTGAAGTAGCAAATGCATGGACTAGTTTCTCTGCATCGTTTTGAGGCAAGATATGCCTGATTTTTGCAATGTTATGTGGATGAAAGAAGGCGGTCCGTGAGATTTGTTGTATGTGTGCGTTAAAGGATCAATCCTGATCAAATAAAACAACAAGATTCCTTACAGTCTCACTGGAGGCCAAATGAATGCCATCCAGAGTTAGTATATCTTTAGATAGTTGGATTCTTTGGGCCGAGTACAATAACTTCAGATTTGTCTGTGTTTAACATAAAGAAATGTAAGGTCATCCAAGTTTTTAACCTCTTAAGCCCCACGGACCCGCCGAAGAGGCCGAAACCACAACATCTGCAACAGTGTCTGAGGGCTTCTTAAGATTTAATAAACTATGAATGTTTCATATCCATGTAACGGGAAGAAACTCAGCTAACTGATGATTTTTTTTTTTTTTAGCAAAAAAAAACACAAGGCTAACGCTGAGCCTCTGAATTAGCCCTGGGCGAAACAATCTTAATGCCGTTAGCACAGAACTCTAGCTATACCGATCGATAAACGTATTGGATCTGCACAAACAAGCTTAGATAACATCCTGAGACTCCACAGATTATAGAAATATAAGTATCATCACTGAGCGATCAGAACTCGTTTCCAAACCGTACTTTGCCGTACAAATCATTGAAATATCTGGGAGTTTTTGCTTTATTCTGTGCGCGCTCCCACGAAGTGCATGCATATCTCTGTGGGCATGCATAACACAGTTCACGAGTGTGCTCTCCCGTCCCCCGTCCCCCGTCTGCGCGACCCGACGGGTAATAATGGATTATGACGGACATGTTAAGATCCTGTCCGTCAAAATAACGAGCAGCGGAAGAAATCGAACGCCACCAGTGGTCGATAGTATCAAATGCAGCACTGAGATCGAGCAAGACAAGAATAGAGACAAGTCCTTTGTCTGAGGCTATCAGAAGGTCATTTGTGACTTTAACCAGAGCTGTCTCTGTACTATGATGTGTTCTAAAGCCAGACTGAACATCTTCAAATAAATCATTGTTTTTTAAGTAATCACACAACTGTTTTGCGACTGCTTTCTAAGGGATTTTGAGAGGAATGGAATATTAGAAATAGGTCTATAGTTGGCTAAAACCTCTGGATCGAGGGTGTGCTTTTAAGAAGAGGTTTTATCACTGCTACTTTAAAGGATTGTGGAACGTAGCCTGATAATAAAGACATATTAATTATATTCAATAAAGACGTTTTAATTAATGGGAAAACTTCTTTTAACAGCTCAGTTGGAATCAGATCTAAGACACACACGTTGATGGTTAAGAAGAAAGAGTAATTCAATTCAGTTGTTCAAATTTCCATTTGAAAAAACTGTCTGTGAATTATATTGTAAATGGTCAACACACTAGATATAAAACATACTAGCAAAATTGAAACTCAGTTGAGATAACACATTTCAAAAGTGCTTTCCAATCAAAACGGAGCATGTTTAACACACAGACAATGAAATTAACTATAAAACCAGCAACTAAACACAATAAAACATAACTAAAATCACATTAAAAATCAGGTTTTATATATATTTTACTTACATTTGACTACCACTGACATTCATTTATTGTTTTCTTTTGCTTAAGTAAGATTTTAAATGCAGGACTTTTTTCAACAAAGTATTTCAATACTATATAACCGAAAACTATCAACTGTCTGTCTGTCTGTCTGTAGTTGACTGGGTGTATCTGAAGGATGAGAAGGAGATAAATGAGTACGTGATGAATGAACAAGGAGTAATCTACAAAGGAACTAAAAACTACATCTTCCCTTTAGACTGGGACTTTGGACAGGTACACACACACACACACACAAACACACACACACACACACGCACACGCACACATACACACACACGCACGCACACACACACACACGTCCAAAAACATTGTTATTATACAAGCAAATGAAAACCACATTTTCAAATGAAATCACTTATGAATACTTAATGTCAATTAAATAAAAAAAAAACTTAATTGTTTAACTTTGAAAATCCTCCTGAATGTTTGATGTCTTCATTCATTTTTGGGAATATTGCCAGTACTCAATTTCAAGTTGTGTACATTTCTTAAACTTCTAGTTTTATATATAATTGTTTAGAATTTATGTAACCAATATTCCACATTCAGAAGAGGTTATACATTTCATTGTGTCTTTTGAGTAGCCAAAGTTTGAATTTGATCAGTCTGAATGTCTTGCCAAGAGCAGATGATTTCTCATTTAAAGTATAAACAACATTCTCATCTGCATTATAATAAATAAAATAACACTCAAAATGCTCTCCCCTCTTCCAGTTTGAGGACAACATGGTGGACATTTGTTTGAGGATGTTGGACCTTAACCTCAAACATGGTAAAGACCCTGCTGAAGATGTCTCCGCTCGCTGTAACCCCATCTACGTCAGCCGCGTGGTCAGCGCCATGGTATGATACACTGCGTTTATTTCTTACACACAGATCCACAATCCCTCATATAGCAGCTAAGCCTTTGTTGGCTGACATTTTAGACTGTTGGGATCCAAAATCCAGAAATGTTGGGAGTCGGTTTGTTTTATGCAACAGTACAGGTAGGGTTTGTCCTCTGGATGTTTAATAAGATAAGATAAGATAGAACTTTATTGATCCCAATTTGGGAAATGTTTGAGGGAGCTGCTGCAACAGGCAGCTGCGTGCACAGCGCCAACGCAACGATGCTATTTCCCAAGTGAAAGAAGTACTCACATCTATTACTTTTTAATAGAAATAGAAAGCTTAGAAATACTCTGTTACAAAAGTCCAACCAAAAACTATACAAGTATTAGCATTACATTAACCTTAAAGCTCACCTATTATGCTATATTTGAGCAATATATTATAGAGCCATATCTATACAAAACATGTCTCTGAAATGTTTTGCTCAAAATACAAAACACCCATTGTAGCATGCCTCAGACCCCTCTATTTCCCAGCTAAATGAGCCCGTAACTAAATGCCATATTATGTTCCAAACCACATGAAATAAATACATAGTAATAATAATAAAATACATCAAAAAGTGCATTTTGCATAATAGGGGACCTTTAAGTAAAATAACTTGTGTAGTATATATTGCTCGTGCAGATTTAATAATGAATTATGAATTAATACAAAGAGTGCCAGCACTCTACTTTGGCAATCAAAATTCAAAGTTTACCTTTAATAAAATATGTTAATATAACTTTCGTTACAGAAGCAGAAGTGTGTTCAGACATTAAAATACAAATACTTCAAATACTTTAAAAAGTGGAAAAAGAAAATTAACAATTAAAAATAAAAGGAATTTTAAAGATATTATATCAAATATAAACAATATAAAATATTCTGGATAATTAAAATAAAAAGTCAAAAATACTACAGGAAACAAAATACTACAGGAATTTTATAAGAAAGGAGAAACTCAACTATGTAGCAGTTCTCTGCCAGCCAGAGGTGAGCTGTTGTAAAGTGTTATTGCAGTGCGCAGGAATGTTTTCCTGTACCTCTCTGTGTGAAAGCGGAGCTGTCTGTCCATCTGCAGGTGGAGAAGGGGGTGGGGTTATCTGTCTGTCCAGCTGCAGGTGGAGAAGGGGGTGGGGTTATCTGTCTGTCCAGCTGCAGGTGGAGAAGGGGGTGGGGTTATCTGTCTGTCCAGCTGCAGGTGGAGAAGGGGGGTGGGGTTATCTGTCTGTCCAGCTGCAGGTGGAGAAGGGGGTGGGGTTATCTGTCTGTCCAGCTGCAGGTGGAGAGGATGGGTGGGGTATCCATGATGGGCAACAGCCTGTTCAGTGTCCTCCTCTCCACCACAGCTTCAAAAGTGTCCAGCTTGATGCCGATGACAGACCCAGCTTTCCCGATCAGTTTATTCAGTGGGGGGTCATTGGCTCTGATGCTGCCCCCTCAGCAGACCGCAGCAAAGAAGAGTGCACTGGCCACAACAGACTGGAGAAGATCTCCAGCATCTTGCTGCACACCTTGAAGGATCTCAGCTTCCTCAGAAAATAGAGTCTGCTCATCCCCTTCTTGTACACAGTGTTGATCTTCCAGTTCAGTCCGTGAAGTTGTAACTTTGAGGAGAAAAAGCCACATTAAAAGAGTAATTTCTTATTTTCTTCAAGATCAACTCTGCGGATGATAGTGGGGTCCTGGAGGGAAAATGGTCTCCTTCATATAGTGGGGGTCAATACCCCACTCACTGGAGCGGAAGTTACCCCATCCTGCGGCAATGGTACGACCTTGGATCCCACCCCGTGAAGTTCGGACAGTGCTGGGTGTTCGCCGGGGTCATGTGCTCAGGTAACAGTTTTAATATGTCGGGGGTGATGTACAGCGGTCATTAAAGGTGGGGTAGGTAATTTTGGAGAAACCAGCTCGAGTGCGCTAGAATTTGAAAATACACAACCGGAAAAAATCTGCCACTTCCTTACAGAGCCCCTCCTCCAACACACACGAACGCGCACATGACCAATGAGGGCACGAGATAAGTTTGTGCACAGATGGAAGGCTGACAGGCAGGTAGGCCATCCAGTTATTTTAGCCGGGCCGGCTCAGATGATTGGTCGTCCTTTTTACAGTATTACGGCTTCCACAGATGAAAACATTTTTATGGATTTTTTGTCAAAGCACTTCAGATATTCATTGCTATCGGGATGTTAAGAGCATTCCATGGAATATAACAAAAAGTGTATCTCGAGCCGGTTTCTCAAACGTATCTACCCCACCTTTAAGGAAAAAGAACCCCAACAGGTGAGCAGGATCCTGATGGGAGGAGGGGTCTCGCTCACCCTGAAGGGGCAAATGTGTCATAGCAATAAAAACAATGTTGCTATATTTACCATTAATGCAAGCATTATTTAAGTCAACATTTAAATGTCAATGTCACTTTCAATCAATTCATTGTTTATATTGCATTTTGAAATTTGAATATTATTTGATTATTGTTGTATGACCACTTTTCATTTTAACATGGTCATACAACTGCGTTTCTTAATTACATTTTTTGTCAAATAAGAAATGTGTCTGGGAATAACATTTTCCTTTCAGTTTGAATAAAGTCTCCTATGGGATTTGTAAACTGGAAGCATTGATGTGATCCTTATTTTCCAGTGTAGCCCTTAGTTCAATTGAGTTTAACACATTGCTGTAGGGTTAGGGTAGCATTAAATAAACTTGAGAATTCTGTGTCATGCATTGGTAAGAGTAGCTGTTTTGTTGCTTTCTGTGGCTTTCATTTAGAAAACAACCCTCATCCTAAACTTCCTGTAATGAAACAGTTATTTCATGGGGCTTTTATTTTTGAAAGACTGGCTCTTTTTCACTCTGAAGGGGCAAATGTGTTCAACTGACCACAAATTCTGACTCAAACCTTTGTTTTACGGTCGCAGTGATGCGCCTGCTGGGCATCCCCTGCCGTGTGGTCACCAACTTTCAGTCAGCCCACGACACCAACAGCAATCTGACCATTGACGAGTACCACTCCGACTATGGAGTCGTAAAGAAAACAGGCCCAGACAGCATTTGGTGAGAGGTGGCAATATCTTATAATAACAACTGTTATCCAGTACACACAACTTCATTCATCAAAAAGTATAGTCTATCTCAGTGTCACTAGGGGGAGGTCTGAGGCTGTTTCTGTGAGAATTACCTTCAGGAATTATCTTCCAGTTCTAATAGGAATTTTGCTTTGTGTCTTAAGGAACTTCCACGTGTGGACGGAGGCGTGGATGAGGCGGCCTGATCTTGCAAATAACGGAACATTTGACGGTTGGCAGGTTCTGGATCCAACACCACAGGAGAGGAGCAACAGTGAGGACTCTTCCCTTAATCTCCAGAAACGTTAACAGAGTCATTACTTTCCCGCTTTGATAACTTTGTATTATTATAATTGAACAATAAATGCCTACCCGGTTATATTAGTATGCCCTATAATATCTGTATTTGGTTAAAAGTATTTCCATTTTAACTGTACTTGAGAAGACAGTTTGGGAAAATAATTGAATTTTGGTCAGATCTCAAAAAGAAATATATCACATATGGCCCTAATCCTCTTCCGTAGATCTCAGATCCAGATTTTAAATACACAAGTTTCTGCGTCTCGTGAATTGGGAGTATGCGACCCATCAAAAATGTTTAGCGATTTTTGGGACTTTTAGAAAACATGTATTCAGACCACGGTCCTGCGTGCAACACACAACAAATTCCTCTAAAGCAGTTGTTCCCAACCTTTTCTGAAATTAAACAAATCTACATCCCTACTGCTGAGGTGTCTTTGAGCAAAGCATCAAACTCCCAAATGCTTGGGGGAGCCAAACCAGGGCAGGCGCTTCGTTCTTAAGGCCCTGACACACCAGACCGAAATCGGCCGTTTTCGTTAGTCGGACAACAAAGCGTGCCCTGTCACCCAAACTCAATTTGGTGTGTCCCGCACCGTCGGCCGTGACACGCCTTATTTGGCCTTTCATGGCCGACGCACGGCCGATTCAACATGTTGAATCGGCCGTGCGTCGGCCACAGGCAGTCGGACAAAGAAATCACTCTGATTGGCTGTTCAGCTAGCGAATCAGTGCATGAGAAGCGAAACGGTTGCTTGAGAATGCCTTCCACAAGCAACACTCCAATGGCTGATAGCTCCAGTACCGCACGAAACATGTTTTCGATGGACGAGAGTGAAAATGGAACGCACACGCTATTTGTTGTTTGTTTATATCAGTCTGTTCTTCTTCTCTGTCTTCCGGTTGTTGCCTCTTTTGAATGACGAATACACACTACCGCCGCCTGCTGGTAAGGAGAGTTATTGCCACTCACGCATGCGCAGTTCGTACGTACGTGCTCGGCTGAAGTCTTTGTGGTGTGTTCCAGTGCGACACATGGCCAAGACGCAGGAGAACACGGCGACGCAACAGTCGGCGTCGGCGTCGGCGAGTTCTCTGGTGACTGTTTGGTGTGTCAGGGCCTTTACACCGCTTCATAAATCCTGCGTGTTTTTCAGGATAAATGGTTATACTGTAGTTCCTGTTTGGAGTATGGATATACTTAATGTATGTCTTCTTCTTCTTCTTCTTCTTCTTCTTCTTCTTCTTCTTCTTCTTCTAAAAAGAACACAATAACTACAATAATGAGAAGCTCAAGTATTCAATAATAATACAACCTTTTTACAATAATTTATTTTAGTTTTCTTCACAGGAATGAATATTATAAGAATTCAGCTGCATATTTTCTTGCATCCCTTAAAATCAAGAAAGCCTCATGTCATGGTCCAAACATTTCTCAAACATCTTTCTAAAGGTCCATAGTTTCTGGAGAAAGTTCCTGTAGGATTATGAATAAAAACACGTAGGTTATTGCAGTGCATTTGCAAAATAAATGTTATTTGTGTGTCACTCTTATAATGAAAACACCAGTTGGCTCCAAAGTGATTATTTAAGCAATACTGCTCTGGGGAAAAATCCCTCTGAAATGGTTTGATTTTTACTTTTTTGTCCCGCAGATGTTTACTGCTGTGGTCCAACTCCGGTGAAAGCCATCCTGAAAGGAGAGTCAAACCAAAAATATGACACCCCATTTGTCTTCTCCGAGGTCAACGCCGACTGTGTCGACTGGCGGGTCAGTGAGCCTCAAACACACTTTGAGGGAATTTAAAAAACCTTTATTTTTCCTGAGATTGCGTTATGATTGAATTATTTTTGTGTCTGTTCTCTGTGTGTTCTGTCAGATCAAAGCTGACAACTCAGAGGTGAAAATGTCCACTGACACTGAGAAAGTGGGTAAAAATATCTCCACCAAGTCTGTCGGTTCAAGGAAGAGGATGGACATCACCGACAGTTACAAACACAGAGAGGGTGAGTTCGCCTGAAGAACACAAACAGCAGGGGGGGGGTTGTGACTACACCATATGTACCCACACTTGCTAATAGACATTATAATACACAATATTTTTAGTACATAATTCCTGCATTTCTACTTACACCATAGTGTCATTAACACTTTGTTTTTGCTCTATTTGTTTTTTTTCACACCTAAGTATGTTGTATTGTTGGAGGAACCTGGGAATTATAATTTGTATTTCCTTCAACTGCACTGTAGATATTGTGCATATGAAGATAACCTTTGCATCACATCTTTACACGCAGACTCAACTACCTCTTGTTTTACCTAGCATATTGTTTTGTTTTTAATTAATACTTCATAATCTTTTACGCAGTTCACCTGCATCCTGTGCGCATTGTCTTCGTCAACCGTTGGTCAAAAACCACAAGGCCTTCCTAGAATTGTGGTGGACACTTTATGCTTTGCTTGCACATTCTAAAATGCACAATGAGCATAGGTCAAACGTTCAGGATGTTCTTTCTGGTTTCATATGTCTAGTAAGACATTATTGAGAAATACTTCCTTCCCATCAAACCAAACTAAAGCCAATTTAGCATTTTTTATCAATGGTAAGTTTAATAGAGGTAGGTGAGGTACGTGAGGTCTGTCACGGCCACTTAAACAGCAGATCTGTCAACACTGTATTTGTATTATTATTATTTGTACAGGTCCCAAGCTATGATTTAATGGAAATAAAGTAAAATTTTATTTTGAGCCAGTGCAGTATGATAAATTATACTTTCCGTAGTAGTCCTTTTGATGGAAATACTTTTATACATTTACTTTACAATTAGCAGGGTTCATACACTTTTTCACCAATGATTTTCAATGACTTTTCAATGACTTCTCCATGACCTTTACCTAATTTTCCATGACCAAAAACATTACTCTTTCTCAGTGGTACCACTGAAAATGGTTTATTTTAACATGGAACAGGAAAATAAGGTCTGCATATGAAACATGTTGTGCCTATCTAAAACAAATCAAATAGTAGGCTTACTAGCTTCTACAGGCTAAAGCAGGGCTCTCCAACACGTCGATCGCGAGCTACCGGTAGCTCGCGGGCAGCTTTTCAGTAGCTCGCCGCTCGATTATCGATTATAGTAGTGTAGTAAGGTTGCTTATTGATTTTTCGGCCGCGGCTGGACAATAAGGTTTTTTTATTTTAGAATTTTTTCTGTCACACGAATATCAAATGGTCGGTGACGCAGAGCTCAAGGAACAGACGTGACAGCAGCACAGCGACAACACACACGGAGCAGTCTGCTTTCTCCACCAGCACCAGTCCAGAACCAACAGCAGAATGACCCGCTCTGAATCAGGCCCTGTCGCTGCGGCTCAGAGACACACAGGCAGGGATTTGTGTTTTTTGAAAAACACTCGTTATCGTCATGTCAGGTTTTTGGTGGATTTAATCAAGTCTTGGATTGCAGAGTATGAATGTCCTCTTGCTATTTTCAGTTGATAAATACTTGTGTAAAGTTTGTGAAGGCAGGAGGAAAGCTTCCGCGATCACCGTCTCCTCTCCGTTCCTCCAAACCCCGCCCCCTCCCTGAAAATAATGAGTGACAGGCTGATAGTGACCCGATAGAAACTTTATTATTCACTTAATCACTGATTGAGATATGTTGAAGCTAACTTAATCTCATACATTCATGGGATTTATGTAACAGTAAGACAGAGAATGTAAGTGTGCACCCACATGCACTATTTTTGTTTTTATAATGCTGTTGTAAATACTCCTGTTGTCTGCTGTGTTCAGACTTAAGTCACGTGTGTGATGCCACATTCAAGACATTCAGTGTCTTTTTTTTTTTAACAGAAGACCGTTGCTAGAAGCTGCAGCTAGACTGCTGAAGTATTAGTTTTTTGTTTTTGAGGATGGAACCATTTTCACACACAGATATAGGGAGGCTAGACCTATACAATTGATTTATTATGGTTTATAATTTAATGTCAAGACGAAGAAGAAGAAGAAAAAGATGGCTGAACAACTGTTCAGTGTCAATCCTGTGGAGATCTCCAAAATAATGTTCAGCTTAAGTCTCAGCAAAACTCACAACATTTCTGGAGCCTTGTAGACCCTGAAAACTATAGAACATTCACCAAGCAGCACTGAAAATGTCTGCTTTATTTGGTTCTGTTATACATACCTTTGTGAAGCAGCTTTTTCTGACATGAATGAAATCTAAATACAGAACAATACTGACTGATGAACATTTAAATGACTCTATTAGAGTGAACCGAAGTGGGTACACTCCAGCATACAGTACACCTGTATGGTGGACTCCATGCAGTGCCATTCATCTCACTAACAAAAGAGTGAAATGCTTGTAAGGTGGTGATGTGAAGTTAAGATTTTTGATAAGCTTTAGGTATTGCAATTTCACACGTGTACAAAAGTATAGCTTAATTCAACTGATGAGGGCTATGTGAATAAATGTAAGCGATGTGATGCAAGTAGCTCTTGGCCACTTTCATTTTTTGAAAGTAGCTCTCAGATGAAGAAAGGTTGGAGACCCCTGGGCTAAAGCAACTAAAATCTCTCACCAGCAAAACACCTCGTCAGTTAAATGCCATTTTACGTTTCATTACTATATGATACAGTATTTATGATCATTATAGTATTACTATTTCGGCGATTAAATAAAATATAAATTATATTTGATGCAGTTATATTTCCATGACTTTTCCAAAACTTTGGGAAAAATATTGTTTTCCATAACTTTTCCAGGGCATTTTCCAAATTCAATTAGCATTTTGAATTTCCATGACTTTTCCAGATTTTTAAGGACCGTAAGAACCCTGAATTAGTAAAGTTTTGATTGTAGGACTTTTGCGATAATTTCTACACTTATTATTCCTACTTTTGCTGAATTAAAAGATCCAAGTGCTTTATTTAAACAGCTGTCTGTGCTGAAGGTATCTCTGGAAATTGACTTTGAAACTCAATTTACAGGATCAGAGAAGGAGAGGGCTGTCTTTAAATACGCCGAAACCAAAGATTACTCCAAAGCTGATGATGATGAGGAGTTGGGGACGTTTGAAGTGATGGAGGAGGACGAGGAGGACGATCAGACAGACGACAATGTTGAGGTTGAAGAGACAGAGGAGGGCGCCCAGAGTGAAGAGGAAGAAGATGATGAGAGTGAAGAGGAGGATGGGAAAGAGGAGGGGAATGGGACCAATGGAAGTCCGGATGCAGTAACAGAGCCAGTGATCATGCATTTTGAAGAGGTGCGTCACAGAAACTACCAGAAGTTTCCCTTTAGAGCAGAATTCTGAGAAGAAATACAGAATTACTACTTAAATCAATAACAGTTCAAACTGTACCAAAAAAATAATGAAATGTTGACTTTAATTAAACGTATTATGTCAACATATTTCACATAACTGTATTTGGATAGTTGAACGCAATAATATCAAGTTTAAATACAAAAATATTAGGTTCAACTTAAAGGGGACCTATCATGCAAAATGCACTTTTGTACGTCTTTTATACATGAATATGTGTCCCGGTGTTCCAGGGAACTCACCAAGTGTCAGAAAACACAACCCTCTCTATTTTCCTCCATACCCAAATCTCTAAAAAAGGGGTTACAACGGATCTGATAAAAACTGATCCAGATTTGAACACTGTCCTGACGTCAGGACGGTGGCGCTACGGCTATTGGGCCAACTCCACCAATCAGGAGGAGACAGCCACGGCCATTGCCGTTCGAAAGCGCTGGAGACGCTGTAGTACATATGCCAGGCCTGTAGGTGGTGCTGTTCTCACAGAATCTGCCCAGAGCTAGAAAATGTCAAATTGAGCAAAATGAGGCATGGCTAAAATGCATGATCTGTTTGGTATTTTGAAAAAAAAAAAGTATAAATATGCCTTATATAGGTATGGTCCTACACTATATTATTCAAATATAGCATGATAGGTCCACTTTAATATTATTGCTTTCAACATTATTTTGCGTCAAAGAAACATGGTGGTGGTGCATGACTGAGTCCTACAATTCAGAAATTAATCATAATCTTTACCACTTACTGTACCTCGACTTGAAGTCATTGTTTTTTTTGATAGGTTTTGTGGTTTGATATCTTGGCAATGGTGACGTGAAGCCATGCGACCGCGATGTTGTTAATTTATTGCCTAATGTTAGCTTTTTTGAAATTGGTGTTAATATGTGGATAATATCCTGCTGAACAAATCAAAGCGTGTGTTTGCCAAAGATCTTGTTTTGTGCAACTTTCCAAAATCCAATGGAAAAATACATTTTATTTTTTGTAAACCAACACAGACTCTTTGAGCGTGGTGCTTTAGTAACAATTTCATACCAACATGATTTTTATGATTTAGGTTTTTTATGATTTATTCAAGGTGTTCAATTCATTCATTTTGACTTGAATGGTAGCGTATCCTGTATTTGTTTTTTGAGACTTCTACTTATTATATATATTACCTGTTCTCATTCTACTCTTGTGTTTAAAGAGGCCCTTGTATGCTTTTTGGGGTTTGCTCTTTCTTGTAGTGTGTTCTATAGGTTTTTGTTAATGTAAATGGTCTGCAAAGGCTGAAATACATGTGTTCCCTCCAGAGGGAGTTTCTCTCCCAGACACTCCCACCTTGCCTGAAACGCCCCTATTGGACTCCTTTGTTTACTTCCGTGACACAGCGACATCACATAACACTTACGCTTCTATCTGCTAGCCCTCCAACACATTGTACGTGATAGGCTAAGGGACATCTCTAAGCGGTTGACGAATCACAACAGAGCCGGTCAGCTAACCAATCAGAGCAGACTGGGCTCTGGTTTCAGACAGAGGGTGAAAAGAGGTGCATTCGCAGTATATATAATAGTATGTCCTCTCGTGTGCTACAGGTGACTCCGCCGAGGAACGGTAAGGATGTGAGGCTGAAGCTGGTGCTGCAAAGTGAGAGCAGCTCCGTCAGATCGCTCTCCGTCAACATCAGCGTCCAGGCCATCAGGTACAACGGTGTACCGACCATGAACATCCAGACAAGGGTGAAGGACAAGATACTGCTGCCCAGGAGAGGTGAATCTTCTGCTAGAGATATCTTTCTGTACAGAGATGTTGCTGTTTAATTTTGGATGCAGATATCCAAAGGGGTGGTCTAATCTACCTGCGGGTACAAAAAAACGCATCTAAAACACACAGTGATAAGAATAAGATAGTAAGGTACTCGACTCATTGGAGGTAAAAACATGTATACCATTAACTAGTAGTTTCTCAAACTTACCTACCCCACCATTAAGACATATACAACTGCAACGAAAGTAACAAACACAATGCAATATCCTTTTCAATTTCAAAGAACACAAATTGGGTTATAGACATTAACAAATAACTATAAAACAACAATACTGTAGAATAACTAAATTAATGCCATGAATAAACCGAAATACGCGTGTTGAAGCGGTTCGCTGCTGATTACTACGTATTTCCTTTGTTGAATTTGCTGTAAACCGACTTTAATTCTCCCTCTTTCTTCCTCTGTCTCTTTTAGATCTGTTCATCCCGATCCGAGTCCCATTCCTGGCGTACCATAAAGCCATGTTGGACTGTAACAGCTTGAAGGTTTCAGCTTTGGTCACGGATAAAGAGAGGCCCAACAACACGTACCTGGCTGAGGATGACGTCGTGCTGATCGACCCTCCCATCACTCTCACGGTCAGTCAAAAAACTTCTGTCTCAAGAATCTGAAATGTTTTTAATGGAAAAAATTATAAGAAATATATATTTAAAAAAGAAAAGTATAATAACCATTTCAAAGAAACTTTATCGTTTTTAGTTCTTCATCTAAACTGAGGGAAAACCACGATAAGCCTTTAGGGTTTTGGCCTCACCTTGCATATTCTGTTATTCTGTGTGACTGGCGAAGCCACAGGCAGTATATCAAATCAAATCAAATCAAATTAAGTTTTATTTATATAGCACATTTTTAAAACGATTTTTGGTCGAGCCAAAGTGCTGTACATATAATAAAAATACCCTACAATAAAGACACTTTACAGCAAATACAACAGCACAGTTTGTTCAGAATATCAGTATGAGAAAAACGACACCCTCTGTCCTTAGACCCTCACACAGTATAGTATTCAACATACTTATCTCATCTTATTAGTGCGAATGCTGTGCAACATTATTAAAATATTCAGCTTTTTCTGCCTTTTCAGCTAAGTTCAGCAACAAATGTACACGGCTTACAGCATTCGCACGCATTTTCAGCAGGAAATGCATTTTCTAGTTTTCTTCTCTTATCCCACTTTCAAGCCCCCAGTGTTCATGTATCATTTAAATCTAAATTCTTCACTTTCTTCTTACACATTACATTTCAGCAAAGCAGTTCAGCGTCAGCTTTTCAGCATAAAGCATTCCCACTAGCAATTTCTTCAGGATTGCATTCTCTAGTCTCCAACTTTAAAATGGTCACAAGACATTCAGCTATCAAACTTTTACGGTTTTTGAATTATCAACGTTTAAGTTGTGGTACATTTTCAGGCTGTTTTAGATTTTATAATGGGTGTCTATGGGAAGGACTCTTCAGGGCTAGAGTGTGTGACATCATCACTTAGAGTGTAGAGGCTCCTTAAAACCTTCAGAAAAAATATTTTCACTTGTCATGAGGTTCAATTAAAGCACGGTTATTGTATTATATTATTGAGGGAGAATTGTCCGGGGCTGCAGAAAAAATATAATAATAATAACGCCCAGGCCAGGCAACGCCACTGTGTCTCAAATCGCACTCGGCAACTGTGTCCTCACTGGATGTGGCTATGGCCGCTGGTTTCTAGCTAGCCCTGATCATTAGCGGTAACAAATCATGACAGACTGCACATTTAACCCCCCAATATAACAGTGACTTATTTCCCATAACAATATTGTAGGTTTGTTAAATATAGAAAGAAACACATGTATAACTGTTCTATGTAAGTGCTGTGTTTCCTAGAGCAACTGCATTCGTGGATAGTCACGTAACTTCTGTTGCGTAGCCGTTGCATTGGGAAGAACTTATGCTCCCAAAGTAGCAAATATAAGTTCAGAAGTGTGCAAATTTAGACAAAGCGAAAATAAGGACAAACATGAAGCAAAGGAAATTATTACTCAATCATCAAAGTACTTGACTGTGTCCTGCTAGAGATTTCAGTATGGATAGCCGTCGTTCCGACCACAATGCTAGCCGGCTTTAGCCAACTAGCCTCTCCCTGTCAGTCAACAGCGAAGAAACAACAAAACAAAATCTCTCTACAAGAAAGTTAAGAGAGGGCAAAGCTTAATAAGTTACTAATAGAAGTTACCAACAGAAAAATGATAAGCAAGATCAAATAAGAAAGATACAAATTGAAAATAGTATCAATCTAGCTGGATTAACTGGAACAGGCTGCATGCAATATTGGTACATTCACACTAGTTACATAATAACAAACACTGACTGTTGATAGTCCTGATATAAGAATATCTAACCTTTTATTAGAAACGTCTTGTCATAAAAAACACATTTTACACAGGCTGTTTTCTCTCGCCTTAATACATGATTGGTAGTGATGATTCCTGATGAATGTTTTTAAATAATCTGTTCAAATGTGTCCCAGGTTTTAAGTTATGCCAAAGTGGGTCGTAGGACAAGAGCGGAAGTGACTTTCCTGAACCCGACGCGCAACGAGACGCTGACCAACTGCACTTTGACCCTCTCCGGAAGTGGACTGATGAAACACGAGGTGGTATTCAAGTGAGTGTGTTTGTGTGCGTGTGACATAACCTCACCGGTTAAATGCTATAAAAGATTAAAGGATGGTTACTACTAGATTATAAAGTTGGCAACATTCACTGTCATTGGAAACTACAATGTTAGTTTTATCAGCTTATTTAACAATGTGATCGTATGATTCCTTCCCATATTATTGCAGATCTGCTGTAAGCCAGCTAGATAACGTAGATAACCTAGTTTCAAATAAACTGACAAAACACTTACAACTATGGACAGACTAACTCTGCCAACAGTGACACATTATAATCCCCGAACGTCACCAAGGGCCAGCTGTGTGCATCAATTTTAAGTGTCCCCTGGTTTCTGTTGTGTTTTGAGCAACTTGCAGTGTTTTTCTGCTTGTAATGCTTGACTGTTTTAAATATAGACAACATTTAATTGGCACCAAAATCGGTTGTGTGGTTCAATTCTCAAGGCAACAAACTCTGAATAAATCTGAGTATTTTTTTTATCTCATTACACTTTGTGTTTCCTGCAGGATGCCAGAGTTGAAGCCAAACAACCGTATTCATGTCAAGTTCTCCTTCGTTCCCTACAAGTCCGGTAAGAGGACTCTGGTGGCCGACATCGACTGCTCCACCTTCAGAGACATCAAGGCCAGCTGCATCGTCAACGTCCAGCCGTAAACTCTTTACGAAACAAATCGCCAGGTTTATAGCTCTTTATGAGGTGTTTTTACTTTGAAATCATTCAGGGGCTTTCAGAAGGAAGACAAATTGTTTTTAATCAATGGAGGCTACATTATTTATAAAAAGTAGTTATACGTATACACTATTAACTGTGGTTTTAATTTACACATGTTTACTTTCCACTTTGCATTATGGTCTTTTTCTTGGTACTGCTACACCTATTACTCCTGTTGTGGTGTTAAATATTGGTATAATGGAATATATATAAAATATAATTATTGTTTTATTGCAAACTTTAAACTTTCGAAATCTAACGAACAATGTAGGCCTGTAATCATTTATAATTATACAAATCAAGTAAAGCAAACTGCTCGCCGCAAGGCATAAACGAAATAAAAATGTACATTTATCATCTCAAAATAACCAATAATATCAAAAGAGTCGGCCTGTGAAACCCTAATAGTTGGCACCGCCATGGTTCCTTCAATAAAAAGCTTTTTGATTATTGTATGATACTTAACATTCTCCCAAAAATGTAAGCTGTGTTCACATATGAACACCACTTACCTGATTACCGAAGCATACACTGTAAAATGTTTGGCTGTAAAATTACAGTAAATTACTGGCTACTAGTTGCATGGATTTCACAGTAATTGACTGTAAATATTTCACAGTAATTGACTGTAAATATTTCACAGTAATTGACTGTAAATATTTCACAGTAATTGACTGTAAATATTTCACAGTAATTGACTGTAAATATTTCACAGTAATTTACTCTAGATATTTTACAGTAAATTAGAATAAAAGTACAGCTAAATACTGTGACTTTACAGTTGCCATGCCCATGGAATTACTGTGATATAGCAGTACAGAGCTGTGGTATTATGGTACCTTGCTGTACATAAATTACAGTAATTACCTGTATTTTCACACTTTTACTGTAGAAGTAATGCAACACAGTAGCCAGTAATTTACTGTAAATATAAAAATGTAAATAATACGAAATTTGACTAGTTAACTGGGATTTTACCATAACTACACAATTCAATCAGCTCAATCAACAAAGAAAAACAAAGAAAAACAAAATGCCAATTTTAACTTTGTATTACTCCATTGAAGTGCAAAGTACATTTCACAGTGTCTTGGACATGTTGTTACGGCCCCAACCTCTACTCCGCGGTAGTGGCTCGTACTGAGACCCGCAACATGAAAGAATACACGCAATAACCGGTACTTGGTAACGAGCATTTATTGATAATCAGCCGTTTGCTCACACAAGCAAAACGGGAAACAAAAAGAGGTCTGGAGGACTGGCCAAAAGGAACAAACAGAAGGAGGGAACCCGAGCCAGCCACACCACGGGCCGTAGGACCCAGAGCTCCCCCCCCTAACCAGAAATCAATTATAAACCCTATGGGAAACAAAATAAAGCCGCGAAAACTGGACTACCAGGTCCTCCAGGCTAAACATAAATACATCTGCAGAAATATGGCCTCCAGCTCAAAATGGCAAAGAGGTATGGAGAGTGTCTCCCGGCGTTAGGATAGGCGAGACCTCCTTCTCCTCCAGCTTCTCTTTATATATACACGGCTGAGTGGAATTAGGAACACCTGGGCAGAGGCGGAGCCAGGGGCAGACCAGGTGCACCTGCGCAGTAGGGAGACAGAAAAGAAAACAAGAAGGGCAGCACGTAACACATGTCTACACAGACATCCACTCGAAGTCAACCATTTTTCTGAAGAATGTGCTGACATGGGGGTTTAAATTGCCATGCCTCTTTTTGGCTTTCGAGCCCGTCTCAGGATTAATGCCCAGGAAGCACTGAAAACAATAAGCCAAGACAACAATTTCAATTTTACATAGATTTATATGTTGCATCGTTTATTTTAAGGCACATGCAGCTGTGCCCCTTTCAATTTAAGTAAAACCTGCACCAAAGAAAGAAATTAGTATTTAAGCCAAGCAAGAGCGATAAAAGCAAGAAAATCACTTAATTTGTTGTGTTATCACAGAGGATGGTCTGAATACAGTATTTTACTAAGAAATAATACAGTAACATGTTGTGAAATCCTGGTAATAATGTATCCTGTACATTCACAGTCATTAACTGTGCCTGCATTGATTTCACTGTGAAATTCAAAATTACAGTATTATATTGTGAACATTACAGGTAAAGACTGTAAAGTGGTAAAACAGTAATTTATTGTAAAATATTACAGCTAAATATTGTGAAATCATGGTAATATTTTACAGTGTACATTGAAAAGTGGATAAACATTTTAACTCTTCTATACACACTTACACACATACACTGAAATGATTTGATGTCCAGCATTGCTCCTTTAACTCTTCTGAGGAAGTGATGTGAAGTTTAATTCACAAACGAATACAGCTTAACATTATGCACTCATTAGAGGAATACAAACTCTCAACTTGTATCTTTAGAGGGATGTTCACGGTCCAATTTGAACTTTAGTCTTAATCGCTTGGCTTCAATTGCACCAAAATATTCATCTATTAATCATCTATCAATGCTCGGACCTGCTCCTGATGTCAACTTGTGTCAAAAAGAGAGAAGAGACAAAATGATGGGAAAGCGGGACTGTATCTTTTTTATGTTGTTATTGAAGCCAGAATCACACAAATAAAGATAATTGAAAGGCATATGTCGAGCCGCCTGTTTGTTCAGAAGTGAAGATACCATTTTTAAGTTATCATTTTGCTTAGAGAATATAATCCCCCCCTTACGTTGGTGTTCGCGGTCAAATTTGACCGGTCCTGTTTTAACTGCTATTACATTAACACAAAAAACATTAATCATCACCACATTTCATTTAACCCCTTTCAAACTGTACATATTGTATCAGACTACTGGTATACATGAAGAACTGCAGTAAATATACAAAGAATAGACACTGAACATGTATTGCGTGTGCCAGGTGTGATCCATGTGGGGGGATGGGCACATAAGAGCGGGACATGTGTCAAATTGTTCTGTGTGTGTGTCAGGTGTGATTCACATGGGGGGATTGGGCACATAAGGGGGGGGGGGACACATCTAGAGTATGTGTGTGTGTGTGTGGGTGTTTGTGTGTGTGTTTGATCTGATCCGGATGGTTACTAATTCCATTTCTTTATGGCGGTCATTTTTGACCGGGAACACCATGGGTGTTACAAAGTTGACTAAATCATCCAAAATCCAATGAAAGTGGTGATCAGCAATTCTATATGTTCAAATGTCTACTGTGAAGGATATCATAAAGCCTTAATGCAATTGAATGTAAAACAAAAAAGTTATGATTGATGAAAGTAGTAAATCGGTCAGATTTGACCCGAAGACAACAGGAGGGTTAACTTAAAGTGGACCTATCATGCTATATTTGAATAATATAGTGTAGGACCATACCTATATAAGGCATATTTATACTTTTTTTTTTCAAAATACCAAACAGATCATGCATTTTAGCCATGCCTCATTTTGCTCAATTTGACAATTTCTAGCTCTGGGCAGATTCAGTGAGAACAGCACCATCTACAGGCCTGGTATATGTACTACAGCGTCTCCAGCGCTTTCGAACGGCAATGGCCGTGGCTGTCTCCTCCTGATTGGTGAGTTGGCCCAATAGCCGTAGCGCCACTGTCCTGACGTCAGGACAGTGTTCAAATCTGGATCAGTTTTTATCAGATCCGTTGCAGCCCCTTTTTTAGAGATTTGGGTATGGAGGAAAATAGAGAGGGTTGTGTTTTCTGACACTTGGTGAGTTCCTTGGAACACCGGGGACACATATTCATGTATAAAAGACGTACAAAAGTGCATTTTGCATGATAGGTCCCCTTTAAATTAAAACAGGATTATGGTTGCCACTTTGAACTCATAAAAATCTACACGTATCGTTACTCAAACTAGATAAAAACATGTTGCACAAGTGAGTTTTTTACAATTATTATTAACATAAATGCAGAACAATAATCAAAACCTTAAAGGTGTAATAACTGAAAATAATTCTGCCCTCATAATACTCACATTTTTTATGACAAATATGTAAACCTAACTGCACTGATACAACAAAAAAAACACAATTCCAAAGAAAGAAATGTGAAATGTGTGATTTAAAAATAAAAATGTAAACAAATATATCGTTGAAGTTATGATTGATATTACACTACGTGCATTATTTTCTTTACTCTGTATACACGCTACGGCCAAAGGATGTCAGAAAAGGTTTAGCATGGAAACCAGCTAAGCTTCGTTTAAAGGTGGGGTAGGTAATTTTGGAGAAACCAGCTCGAGTGCGCTAGAATTTGAAAATACACAACCGGAAAAAATCTGCCACTTCCTTACAGAGCCCCTCCTCCAATACACACGAACGCGCACATGACCAATGAGGGCACGAGATAAGTTTGTGCACAGATGGTGTGCACAGATGGAAGGCTGACAGGCAGGTAGGCCATCCAGTTATTTTAGCCGGGCCGGCTCAGATGATTGGTCGTGCTTTTTACAGTACTACGGCTTCCACAGATGACATATTTTTATGGATTTTTTGTCAAAGCACTTAAGATATTCATTGCTATCGGGATGTTAAGAGCATTCCATGGAATATAACAAAAAGTGTATCTCGAGCCGGTTTCTCAAACTTACCTACCCCACCTTTAAGGTGTGTTACACTATATCTGAGATAAAAATGCCACATAAATCGTTTTTCTCAATGGAGAGAAAGAAAGTCATTTAAAATGTGGCACATATAATTATTTGTTTGGTCATTCCATGACTCATGTTTTTTTTCCCATTACAACATGAATACATGGTGTTCTTATCAACTTGTGTGTAATTATATTGCCTGCTCCCATATTTTCACGTAAAACTGGCTGGAGTCACACTTTGTTTCGAAATTCTGAAAATCATGACCTAAGACCATCCCACGCACACACAGACACAACTCTTTGTTTAAAATGTGTCAAAGATGAAAAATCAACGACTGAATAACATTACACCAAATCTCAGTTTCAACCTATACTACCAAACTTTATAAAAATGTGCCTCTTCCTGCTTTCTTACAGTGCAGACGGTTTTCTGCTTGCTCTTGCCTCTGCTTACTTTTCTTATGCTGATTTTCCTATTTTTATTTTCTGAAAACTTCGAGCAGCGGCTCCTGGACATTAATTATCACGGGGACAGTTATTCTTCATAATTAGATGAAGGGTTTTAGCAATATTTCAATATTTTTATGACGACCTCAATCTTACAGTAGCGTGGCCTAGCAACAGCTTAAGCCTGGTACTGCATGCTATTTAGCTTAAAGGTAGGGTAGGTAAGAATGGAGAAACCAGCTCGAGTGCGCTAGAATTTGAAAGTACACAACGGAAAAAAATCTGCCCCTTCCTTCAGACTTCTATGCTATCGGGATGTTAAGAGCATTCCATGGAATATAAAAAAAAGTGTTTTTGAAGTTTATTACCTACCCTACCTTTAAGTGTATAACAGAACAATGTGACCTTTGAGAAGAAGAAACCAAGATATTCAGTTTCAAAAATGTGTCCTCTTCAATTACAGAACTTTAGTTTACAAATGCACATGAATA